GTTGATACACTAACTCCGGCGCACTGTATTGCGCCAACTCATTGCGTTAACGCAATTGCGTTATTGCGTCACACCACTGCCTGCGCCGAATGAAGTCGATGCACCTCGGTGTATCGCATGATACCGCCGATACCGGTGTTATTCAGCGCGGGCTGTCCTTTTATAAGGGTCAAACCGTGTTCAAGGCAATAACGCAATTGGGAATTTAACTAAATTTTTTTTTATTATATGTTTAAAAATAAACGAAAATATAACAGTGTAATGCACCCATTTTTTTATTTCATTGTGTTCGGATTTTACAAAAAATACAAAAATTCCAATTTATATAAAAAGGATATAACTTTTGTATACTAGTAGCCAATCAAAATGGGAAGAACTAAAAATTGACAGTGTACAAGATTAAAATTCGACTTACAATCCTGCAAATGATGTGACATGTTGCAAAGAACATAATTACTTGATAGATTTTGGGTAATCTGCATTACGAGTTGCATCAATTACGTAAATTAAAATTCTCAACTCGTCACGGAAAACGGAATCAGTGTCTGGCGCATGGCGCACCAACAACTCGCGATCCTTTCGACTCAGTATCGAAAATTGCGTTGCGCTGATACAGTAACAGCTGGTGTATCAACGCTTGTAACGCATTCAACTGCGTTAACGCAATAACGCAACGCAGCGCTGCGTTACCCATGTCTATTAGTTAAGAATATTTTATTAATAATTTGTTTGAAGAAGACATTTTTTCTGTATTATTATAGTATATAATATAATTAAATAAAATATTTACAATATTCTATATTGAAATGCCTTCTGTTTTTGTATAGAATTTATGGTTCAAACGGTACTACTGGTCAAAGAGGCACTATCGAATATCCTGTCTGATAATGTGCCTGAACATGGCATTTATTAATAATATGGTACAAGGCCAGCAATTTCCCGTTAACTTCCCATCAATAGGCCATTAATTGTCAATATATTTATTTCTAGACATTAAAGGGGAAATGAAGGCCCATTAATTGGTTATGATGGCAAAGTGACTTCGGCCCGACTGTCGGCCGTAGTGACCTATATATGCCGGCCTTTTAATTAAAAAAGTCAAATTGCCATCAATGTAATTGGAGGGTGACAGTTATTGGGCCTTTAATTCCCCTACACAAAATGTTTGTTGGGTATGTTTCCATCCAAAATATGGGCAGCTAAAACTTCTTCAACTTGTAGAAATACCAATACATGTGAGTCATTTCACTCCAAATTTAGTGCCTATATTGTCCCTCTCCACATCCAAATATTAATATTTTTTAGAGTCGGTAATAATTAATATGCAGACCGACACCTATATAAGAATTAACTCTATATTAAAACATGAGAAGAGGCTACAGAGAAGCGAGGTTTTAAATAAACAAATATATTCAATCTAAAATTTTGCAATAATAATCAAATAAATAGGTATGACTTTCTCAAGTGTGTCTCTTACAAATTTGGTAGTATTGTTTCACTTTAATTTATTGTTTACATTTATTGTTTACATATTTACATTATTAAATAAAATTGAATTTCAAATTATATCTGGTAATCTTTTTCTTTTTCATACGCTACTATTATTTCGCAGACTAGTTTCCGCAGTTCGGGTGTTTTAGATGGTACAGATCAGGTCAAACTATTTTGTTTCCACAGTTCGGGTGTCGGATTATAGAACCAGATTATCTTTTCGACAGTTCAGGTGCACCGTATAAATCATATAAATCGTATTAACTTTAGTGTAAAAGTATTTTAAGAATTTCTTTAAACTAATATTATTTTTCACCTAGATTATATAACGTACCAAGGTACGTAACGTACGTATACAAATACCGAATAAATAACTGATGATACCTGAATTATTAGCAGAAATTATGGAAAGTACTGTAAATAACCATTATTAAATTTTTAACAAAACAAAAAAATGTAACAAAATATATACAAACTACAAGCACATATACCAACGAATTAAGAACCTCCTCTTTTTTTTGAAGTTGGTTAAAAAAATATTCCGACGAATTGAGAAACTACTCCTTTTTTTTAAGTATGTTAAAAGTCACGAAATACTTGGTATTTTACGCAAAAAAAATGCACAGCTACAAAAGGAAACTCAATGGATGCCATCCAGGTTTCAGTGTGCCGCCGAAAGAAAATAAAAACTAAAAAATATGATAATACAAACATATATCCCACCGTAAATTTAGTAATCTGCAATATTTTTTAAAATTATTTATACGATGAATATTCAAAAAAATTATTGACCATAAAAGCAACTTTTGCGTTTTTTTCCACGTGAGCTCTTATACCCGTGAAGTTTTCTTCGTGTGCGGTTTTGTCCGTGTGCGCATCTTTCCACGTGCGGTTACTTATTGTGCTGGGAATATAGTTAATATCCATATTTGTGACATTGAACTTGAACTAAAATGCCGATATGAAGGTTAAAGTTCCATTAAAGTTTTATTGCAGCATCAGTATATGTACCATTAGTCTTTTGTGTATATAATATTTTATTACACACATTGTTATTGGTATCTTTATCATCAGCTTAGTCATTCATATACCTACCTACATAATTTTGTAGAAATTGCCTTTGTTTTATTTTTAATATTTAAATTTATTGATTACATTATCTCTTTAGATCTAGAATAAGTACAAGGTTTGTCCGGAAAATATGTGTAAAAGTGGAATAATAACTTTATTTTACAATATAGTGTCCTTCAAAGTACTCCCTCTGAGACAAGATGCACTTCTACCAACGCCGTTTCCACTGTTGATAAGATCGCTAAAAATCTTTAGTTGTGAAGCTCTTCATTTGCCGTGCCGTTGCTACCTTGATGGCTTCCACATCCCTAAAGTGCCGCCCCCGAAGCACCATTTTGCATTTTGGGAATAGGAAGAAGTCGCAAGGGGCTAAATCGGGTGAATAAGGCGGATGTTCTGTCACGGTGATTGAGCTTCGGGCCAAAAACTCACGCACAATGAGATACGTGTGAGCAGGCGCGTTGTCGTGATGAAAGATCTACCTGCCCCCTTGTGCCAAATCCGGTAGAATTCGGGCCACACGAGCTCTGAGACGTCTCAAAACTTCAATGTGAAAATTTCCGTTCACTGTCTGGCCGATAGGAATAAATTCCTGGTAAACAATGCCCCGAGAATCAAAGAAAACAATCAACATTGTTTTCAAATTGGTCCTTGATTTTCACGACTTTTTTGTTCTCGGTTCCCCTGCTTGCTTTGAGATTTCAGGTCCACATTGAATTCGTAGAACCAAGACTCGTCTCCAGTGATGATCCGGTTGAGAAAGTCCCCCCTTTCCTCTGCTTCCAACCAATCCTCACAGCAAGCAATCCTCTTGCTTTCTGTTTTGGAGTCAAGAGCTTCGGAACGATTTTCGCGCACAATTTTTTAATTTCAAGTTTTTCTATCAGAATTTCGTGGACGATTGTTTTGGGGATTGACAGATCCTCAGCTATCATTCTGACAATCGACGGTCTTTAAGAACACAAACCCGAATCCGTTCAACATTTCCCTCAGAACTCGATGTGGAGGGGCGTCCTAAGAGGAGGTAATCTTTCACTTCTTCTTGGCCTTCCCGGAACCTTTTTAACCACTTGTTGGTTGGTTCCTTCAAAGAATTGTCTCCGTAAACTTGTTTCAAACACTCAAAAATCTCACGGTTATTCTTGCCTAGCTTTGCAAGAAACTTGATGTTGATGCGCTGTTCCTCAATCAGAGAGATCTCCGTGCCGACGGCAGGTAAAAAAGGATTACTTTCAACAAGCAGACGAAACTCCTACTTACTCGCAGAGTACTTTGACTCGAACTGAGCGTTGAGGGGATTACATAGAGAGGGGGAACCACCGATCCGCCCCTCCACAACGCCTTGACACGTCGTCACGTATTTTGTAAACGTATTTTCCGGACAAACCTCGTATGCGAGAGATTATTATAAAAAAAATAAGTTAAACTTAGTAAAAAATCAAGAGAAATATAATAGCTGATAAATGTGTGATGCCCTTTCAAACTGAACTTGGAAACTTTGTACTGTTCTCAATGATATCGGTACTCAAAGTGCAAAAGGTCGTATGTCGAAAATTACATTTTTTTATTGCCAAATGTGACATTTTGCGATTCCCATCTGGTGGAAAAATCTCTTTAGGCTGAAATAAGAATAAACCAGGAAGCATATAATTATAGGATCAAATCTTAAGAAAGAAAAAAACAGTATTGTTGCTCTCCTAAAAAATACAGTGTTTAGTCATAAGACATTTTGCTTCGCACTTTGAGTGACGATATTTAATGGTACATTAAATTTTAAATAGTTTGTCTAAGTATATAATTGACCCGAAAAAATCCAAGGATAAAACTAAAAAAGAAAAAACGACAAAAAGACATATGGATATGGATGCAGCCGTAGCCGACCGACATATCACGATCTGAATTATTCAAAAAAGTCGACTTGAGTTGCTAGAATATATCTGCAGAATGCCAATAGAAATATCTTTCGGTTAAAAATCGAAATGGAGAATTTTTGTTGTAGAACATCGATACATATAGATTTACAACCAAACTGACCCTTGTAGAATTGTTTTTAGTCTATATAGACTTTTTTTGAATGGTAAGTATATTTACCACAGAAAGTTTATTTAAATCTTCATATAATACATTGGTATGTTGAGGATTTTCATTATATTCTAAGAATAAATGGTTGATATCTGCTACAGAATTTATAAGGGTAAAAAATAGAACCCAGAATTCCAATTTTATATAAATGGCTAAATTTTAAATAAGTCATTATTCATGGCTGATATTTATTATTATTCCATGAAATAGTGACTTTTTGATGTCTTCTTATGGTTATTGTAGGTGTCTAATTTCTGATATTGTTCTCAATATTGTACATCACTTGTGTAAAAGTGATTTCTCACCCTCGTAATATAATGTACTATTCCCAAACCTAACGGTAAACTTTTAATTACCTTAGCTTCCCATTCCATACCAAAAACCACAATGCCGGTTATAACCACTATTGTTATACAGCCCATTATCCTTACATCTTGAATACCATCATCTACAATTTTCAAATGGTATACTTGTAGAAGATCCTGTAAAGATTCGCAAAAGCCGACCACGTACATAGCGCACGCTAATGCGTTTGCTAGAGAGAAAATTAGGCCGATGGACCCGCCAAATTCCGGACCAAGGCTTCTCGAGATCATGTAGTATGTTCCTCCTAAAAAATTAACAAATGACGCAGAGAGAAAATGTAGTAAGTATTCATAAAACTCTTATTTTTCGTTTTTTTTTTTAAGACGATAAAGTAAGTTTTCCTGTGATAAATTTTATATGTTCTTTAAAAAAACATAATACAGTTTCATAATAATTCATTCGCTTCAAAAAATCCTTTGTTGCCATACTTTTTTGCTACCCTGCATAGCTTATATGTTTAACAGTAATAATCATTATAAAATATTTAATTGACAGTGAAATAAAAGAAATGTAGTAACTTAATAGATCTATCAACTATTTTAATCAATCCAATTGGTAGTTAATTCATGCACTTTAGTGAAGGAATATTTTACATTATTATAATGCATCATTAGGCAATGACACAAATAATGACATAATTTGTTACTAAGATATGATCAATAAATTTGTCACGTGTTTATTAAAAATCGTGATGAAATAAAACAATAATCGTGCATTTTGTTATTTTTTCACATACCTCCTTTAATTACGCCATTTGTACTAATTGCTGACATGGATAAAGCTGTTATAGAAGTAACTACTGATGTTGTTAAAATTAATACTATAGACTGTCCTGAAAAGAAAAAAATATAATAGTAATATTATAAATTTTAGCTAGACTAAGCATTCCTTTTAATTTAGCGCCCTCTAGCGGGATAAAAGCTATTACCTATGGTAAAGTATGACACTTGACTTGAAAGCTAATTTTATTACTAATCCAATGCACCACGTAACATTAACCTAGATATCTCCATATTGCACTTGCAACAAAATAAATTTAGTACCAATGCATTCTTTTTTGCGTTTAAGTTCATTTTTGATTTAGTTAACATAATATATTACGTAGTGTATTAAATTACTAATAAAATTACCTTTTAAATCAAGTGTCACACTTTAACATAGGTAATAGTTTTTTATTCCGCTAGAGGGCGCTAAATTAAAAGAAACGCACTGAAAAAATCATATTGCTAAATTTACCATAAAATTACCTTTTCTGACGATTTGTCATACTTAGTACTTTCCTATTTAAATTGTATTGGCAGAGGAATGACATATGACAGTTGAGGATATTATAGAAAGATGTCCACCTTGAAATAAAAATCGACCTGTTTTTGCGTTTCTTTTAAAAAAATTCTATGGGAAGGTGTCCTATAATGACATACTTTTTATAAAAAAAATCATAATTTTTTTGTATTGATTTATTTTGAAAATATTTTCACAGAAGGGCAAATAAAAATAAATAATCCTTAAATTTCCTAAAGAAAAACGTAATATAATGAAAAATAAATGGAACAGAGACCTAAAATATTAGTTGAACTATGTCATTTTAGATACTGGGGATGTCCAAAATGACATAGTATCAAAATATTAGTAAAAATTAATTGCACAAATCACAAATGTCTTTGATTTTGGAGTTAAATCTGTACACTCTAAATGAGCCCACAACTGACACAGCATACACTGGATCCAAGTTTCCTTAGATTTTGATGCCCTAAATAACCCATTGCAATAGATGCAAGACGCATCATCTTCATCATCAGTCTCTTGAAAGGGTTCACTTTCTTCATCTGCCTCATCTTTAATGATTGCCTTGAGACTCTTTTTTGTAGTTTGATCACGCAAATTCATATGTAATTTAGAACAATGCTTCTGACATGTTTTGTTCTTTAGAGTTGTCACAGGAAATCTTCTTTTTAATTTTCTGTGCGTCAATTTTTGATTTTTTCATTGCTTGCTCTTCGTTTTTATATTTCAATTCTTCAAGATTCGGAGAACATGTTAAGACCACGTACGTTTTTGTTACATTCCTTTTTCTTGATTGGTATATTGCTTTTGGAGGTGGAGATATTTCTAAAAATGGCACCTTTGCGACTACTGTCTTGTCTTCTTCATTACTATTGATTGGAAGTTCAGAAACGACATCTGGTTGATTTTCTTTTTCTGTTTGATTGTCAACGAATTTGGTGTTTCAGCCTGAGTATCTTCTAGTGCAATATCAGTTGTGTCCGCTGGTACAAAAAGGTAATCGGGAAAAACGGAATTAAATGGACTGATTCCTGTTTTAGCAAATCCACTCAATGCATTTTGAATTGTGGCTGCTTTACCATACGCTTCAGAAAAGAGTTCACTCACTTGGTAAGCTGTAATAACACGACCTGGATGATTTTTCATCCATGTGGTACAAGCCTGATTGTAATACGCCTTTAGGGGTCCAAAAAAACTCACATCAAGCGGCTGCATACGGTGGGTGCAGTGATCTGGGAAGCACATGAGAATGATGTTATTCTCTCTACAAAACGACACAGCTGCTAAGGAGGTATGGCTTACATGACCATCAAGCAGAAGGAGTATTTTATTCTCCGAAGAGGGATTAGCATGTTTGCAAAAATGTTTCAGCCATTGAACGAAGAGTTCTGAGTTCATCCAATCAGACTCTTGGCACAAACCTAAACTTCCAGGAGGTGCTTTATCAAAAAGTTCATCTTTTTTGTTATTTCTTGAAAAGATCAAGGCTGGAGGAATATAGTTACCTGTTGCACTCATGCAACAAACAACAGTTACATGCTGGCCTCTTTCTGCGCTTGTCAGGGATCCTACTTGTTTGCGCCCAGTTGATGCCAATATTTTTGGAGGTTTCTGGACAGTAGACAGTCCACTTTCATCCATATTGTAAATATTCTCAACAGTGATAGATTTCTCTTGTAGAACAGAATCTAAAACCTCAAAAAATTTGGAAACTTGAGGCTTGTTAAAAGCTCGTGCCGCCGTAGAAATATGTCGGTATTTCTTTTGCGAAATCCTTTGAGCCACTCTTTTCCTGCGATTCCTTTTTCACGGTTAAATCTATGATCTAGTTGATTTTTTCCGCAAACTCATAAGCTAATTGTCTCACTTCGGTTTTGGTTAAACAAAACAGTCTAGATTCAAGATATTTTAGGTATTTTACCAACTCTTTCTCTGTTTGGGAATCAAAAGTTATTGAAAATCGGCCCAGACTTTTCTCTACACCTTTAACTCTTTTATTCTTATTAGCAGCTCTACGTCTAAGAGTTGCTTGGGGAACGTTATAGACTTTAGATGCTTTTAGCCATCCCATTCTCTTTTCTTGTACATCTTTTATAGCTTGCTGCATAGATGCTTCATCCCAGGACTGTTTATTAGTCTTTCTGATGTACCTTCCAACCATGGTCATCTGTAAAAAAAATTAAAGATCGAATTACAATTAATATAAATCATTGTACCAAAAAGACTAGAAATTGTACTGTGCGTCGTATAAAATGACATACTATGTCATTTTAACAACAACCACAATATGTCATTTTAAACGCAATGTTACATTTTCAATATATAGATTTATTGATAATGTTAAAGTTGCTATTAAAAAACCTAAGTACTTACCAATCAATTGTTCACTGTTCACATATAACAATTAATGCCAACACAATATTTAATATCACGAAGAATGATATAAAAACAGCAATCTAAAATCCACGCATACAAAACTTTCTTGCCACTGAAACATAACCTATACAATAAAACCATTAAATATACCTGGAGAGATCTGTAAACTTATAGCATATTTTAATAGAGTGTTTGTTACTTAGTACAGTTACCGAATAAGAAATGCCGCTTCTAGTTTCCCATATAGAGCAAGTGTGTCATTTTAGCAGCTATGTCATTTTAGGACACTTTCCCCTACTTCAAGATATTCTGAGAAACGGCCGGTCGCCACCCTTAATGAATCCGGGTATTTTTCAAATTTTGTATCTAGTATTCATACCCGTGGATGAATTTTTAATTATCCGATGCCCGAATACTTTTAAATTATTCAGAGCATAAGTCTTGTAATATACAATACGTTAACTGACGCATCATATTTGGACTTAGGATTGATAAAGAACGTTATTGGTTTAACCACGCCCTTTAGATGGTAATGATAGAATATTGCGATCCGAAGTCGGCGACGTTTTATTTCTATTCAATAGCATTGTTTCTATACCGTTATCCTGGAGTCAGGATTGGAAAATTCTATGTACTACACTCATCCTTGATTATATCTTTTTTATGTGGCAATTTCGTCATTTCCATATCCATTTCATATTATATATTAAAAACCTTCATAAAACTAATGTGTTTTATTTATATAGTTGAAACCGAAATGACAGGCAGTAATTTAATGCCAAGAACATGTGAAAAGTATCCTAAAAAGCATCCTTAAAGGTATCTTTAAAAGTATCTTTAAAAGTATCTTTAAAAGTATCTTTAAAAGTATCTTTAAAAGTATCTTTAAAAGTATCTTTAAAAGTATCTTTAAAAGTATCTTTAAAAGTATCTTTAAAAGTATCTTTAAAAGTATCTTTAAAAGTATCTTTAAAAGTATCTTTAAAAGTATCTTTAAAGGTATCTTTAAAAGTATCTTTAAAAGTATCTTTAAAAGTATCTTTAAAAGTATCTTTAAAAGTATCTTTAAAAGTATCTTTAAAAGTATCTTTAAAAGTATCTTTAAAAGTATCTTTAAAAGTATCTTTATCTTTAAAAGTATCTTTATCTTTAAAAGTATCTTTATCTTTAAAAGTATCCTTAAAAGTATCATTAAAAGTATTCTTAAAAGTATCCTTAAAAGTATCCTTAAAAGTATACTAAAAGTATCCTTAAACGTATCCTTAAAAGTGTCATTAAAAGTATAATTAAAGAAGGCCTTAAAAGTATCCGAAAAAAGAATCTGGGTACTTGTATCCGAGAACATTTTTAAGTGGACGTATCTTTTTTGTTGTATCCGATCTAACTCATTGCTCCTTGTGTAAATTTTTTGTAATAGATACATTAAAATGATGCTTACCGATTCCAGATTGTCCTACCACCCATGTAAGGCGAAGAAATAACATAACACCCCATATATTTAATAAACATCTTATTAAAACTCCCTGAATCCATCCGAATTTAAATTGTCCTTTTGATTCTATTAATTTGCCATTGGCTAAAGAGGAATGTCGTTGAGTCTGAAAATATAAAGTAGAGGTATAGGTATTATTGCAGATTTTGTCAAATAAACAATACAGTATTACAAAACGCAAGTATTTTTAAATTATTATACAGTTAAAATAAAATAGATGGCCAATATAAAGTGTGTTTTAATGTACAAATCTTTGATATACAAGACAAAAATGGCGAACACGAACAGCAATAATGAGCTAGACAGATGTAAATGTTTTGTACTTTAGTACCACTAACTGCAACAGGCTTACAGAACTGAAAAGTCTTGATGAATTTATCATTTTGTATACATCAATGATAAAATACTCAAGTTAGGTTAGATTAGATTAAAAATGAGTGGTATGACCACATCGCCTTCCTATGCGACCCAGATTGTGGCTTATGTCTAAATTGTAGTTCGCCATAGAGGCCATGGTTGAATTAGATAAGACTTCCGTAGGGTAAAGCCAAAGATCTGGAATCTAGTTCTTTCAAAGGCGGAGCAGGTACTGAAAAAATACCGGTGTTACTTCCGAATATTTCTTTGGTAAAAATGTTCTGTAGCATATGTCGCTGGTGTTAGAAGAATTGGGTTCTTTTGTAGAAATAACTAACGAGTCATAGGTAGTAGAAAAAGAAGTGTTTTTAATTTACTATTTTCACTGAAGTAAATACATAGTGGTTGATTCACTTATCTTGACTAAACAGTTTTAAATATTTACAATTTTAGTTCATCACAATTTGATTAACTAATATAGTTGATTTTTTAGTTACCAACTTGAAAACATTTGTTTGTAGATTTTCTTATGCCATAATAATTGTAGAAGATATAAATTTCACCAGAAAATAAAATTCATTAAATGCTTGTAAAAATGTAGAAAGTAACGTGCCGTCGGCAGAAGCACCTGGCAAAGACAACTGTGAGCGATGATGGTAAAAAAACAACTGAACTCTTTGGTGGCAATAAGACAACTGAACTCGTTTGTGGCACTAAGACAACTACTGAATGATGGCAAACATACCACTGAACTGCTCGCGTCGAGCTCACCCTAATATATACTGTTGGAACGAAATGAGTGGCCGGGGCATAGTTGACGCACCTATTCGGTTTTAACCAATGAAAACATCATGACATATTGAAATACGTCATTTGTGCTTCGTTCACTATGCGCCGGACACTCATTTTGTTCCAATGCACCGCTGTGCACTTGAAAACACAGGTGTTCGACGTTCGGTATTCTGAGAAAAATGCTATTTATAGTTTTATGACTTCACATTATATTAGGGTAAAGAGCAGTCGAACTATTTGAGAATTGTTTATTTATTTAGTAGATGTAAAATATTAATTTGTTGATATTTTTACTGGTGAAATTGTAGAATTTAACCAGGTACACAGAATGAGCTCTGCAGATTCATCTTCCACGCTGCATAATCGACAGTATGATGTTTATTGTAAAACTATCTTTCTCATGTGGTTACCTAGACGATATTGTCCTGTCGTCAAGCACAGAAGAATACATACATAATTCCTACTCCATTCACAAATCTGAATAGAGGCGGTGTTCAGACAATGGGTATAAAGGCCTTCGAATGAGTTAGCCCTGGGGCATCGTACGTAAAATAAGTAGTTTGGTCACTCTGACTGGGGCCTTCGATCATCTTTGAACATTATTTTGTCGACAAACTTCCAGGAAATAAGCATTGGCCGTCGCGCATAAACAGTGATATTGCCTGCTGGAAACATGCTGGTTTTTAGACGGGGTAGAAAGGATCTCGTTGCCTGCATTTACCCGAGTGATTCTATTAATCTTGGTTATGTACGATGCATGAGGTATAACTCCAGGGTATCTATTCTTGAATCTCAAGGAATAGAAATTTTGAGGGAAGAATGAGACCATACAAAGAGGAAACCCCGGTTTTCTAGTCTCTTGAATTCAAGAATAGCTACCCAGAATGAGTGCTGAGATCAAAACCTAGGAGCATCATTGGAAAATGCATTTAGAATCTAGATTATATTAAAAAATATATTTGGAAAACAATTATTATTCCTTCCTTATAGAAAATACATGGTACTTTCAACTCAGCTTAAAATTTTATTAGGATGAGTAATTTTGATCAGAAAATAGTTGCGGGTTTCTGTAGGATATTGCGGTTTGGGTGAAAGTTAAAGTTGCAAACATTGGGGTTAATAATAGAGACTGGCAATTATCAACTGAAATACATTCCTATACTCAAATGTGAACAAAATTTGTTGATATATTTCCCTCATAGAGTGCCAATTACACATATTACCGCGCATTTATCGATCAGTTGATTTGGTTTTAAGTAGGAAAGATACCCTACAGTGTTGTCAAATCAATTTAGTTTTTCGTAAAGGTAATTTCATGGTTTGATTTGGCTTTTAGCTTTTATTATGGAAATGTGGCAAAAATACACCTGTCGATACTCTATGATAGGGTTAATCGTTGTAGCCAACCCAATAGATGTAGTGCGGGTAAGAATATGAGAGAGATAGAAAATACGTCATATAGAAAATTACTAGATTCAAAAGTTCCGCATGATACAGTTCAATTTCTGTTGTATTAGCCAAAGGAGTAGTTTTTCTCGATGGAAACGCCCATTTGACGTTTTTTATGATGGGTTATGAAAGTGGAGGGGGTAGTTTAAAGTATCACTCTTCCTGCTGATCTTTGGGTTTTTTCATTTTACTTCTGTTTTTTCTCATTATTACATTTTTTTAAAATTGATCAAATTTGAGTATTAGAATTTATTTCCTTTTATGAAGGTTAGTAGATAATTTGGCGTATATTTAAAATTTTTATTGTTGCTCTAAGAATATAGAAAAAACTAAATCCAGTTTATTTATAGCAATATTTCACAGCCTATACTTTAGAAGACCTGACAGTTGTTTTCTTAAATTGTGATAAAAAATAACAATTATAGATTAATTAAGAAATGGCAATCCGTTAATTGTAATACCTATGTCGGTTTATCGTGCGTATTTTAAACAACACCCACTATTTTTTCGATAAGTATAATCGTTGACAATTAAACTGATCTCATTAATGGTTCTTTCCACTATATACAAAAGTCACGTTCGATATTCCTAGAAGTCCATAACATACAGGACGTTCTAAAACTTTAAGGTGAAGGTTAATAGTCTAGCGATTTTATAAAAAATTCCGTTACTCGATTTTCTTAATTACATCAACAATTATATATACATACTTGTTGACTCAGCAATTAGGTATGTTATGTTTAATAGAATTGTACTTTTTACTACTATTATTATTAAATACATTTATTACGTTATATCATTGTATAAAGTTATATGGAGTGTAGAGGTAAGGAGAACTATCTCTGTTTACAAAAGTGTCCCTCAAAATGTATAAAACTAAGATGGCGTAACTGTACCAGAAGGATGCTAATTCAAATCACAAATGACATGTATAGTTTTATAGATAGGTAAATAAGGGGCTGTATATGCTCGAAAGGTATAGCCTAAAAACTACATCGTGAAAAACCACTGAGTTTATAATCATAGAGAACTCTGATAATAGTCAATAGTGCTTTTTGTCTAGTACACGAGCGCCTATCTGGTGGTCACTTTCTGAAATCTTACTGCTTTTGGGTGGACACTTTTTGAGATAAACAACCATATGAGATTGTTCTCCTTCCATCTACCCTCCATAGATCAACTGGTGAGCACCATAGTACCTTAGTACTACACTGGCAAATCCACATACTTTGATTTTCTCTTACTATACGGAGAAAGGTCGCACTGCGCAGCTTTTTTGACGCAGAGTGAGCGAACTGATTCTTTATCTATAAACTGTGGTAAAGGCATCAAAATGGCCGCGCCCTATGTTGGGCGTGTCGGACCTCTCTCTTGCACCGTATAGTTATCAAAGTATGTGGGTAAATCTAGTACTTTTTGACTTTACCTGGCCCACTCCCGAATCGGTGATATAGTCACTTTTTAATAACGCACAGGAATGTGGATTAACAAATAAGAAGAATGCGGTCAAAATTGTTGGGAGCTGACCGCTATAGGCTTTCCAAGCCTTTTCAACCCCACTGAAGTGATTAGGAATCTGAGGACCGAGGGGTTGGGGTGGATGGAATAGTGATAGGTACCCGAGATTTTTTTTTAAATTTTATATTGTATTTCTCAAGATTTTTGTTTACATTTAATAGTACATTTTTTCCTGATACCCTACTATAGGAGTTATCTTCCTTTTCATGGTGGTGTGTACAATAAGTAAACTAGCTATCTAGTTTACTAGTGTTTTTGGATCAAGTCCAAAATAAAGTGGTAAATATGAAGACCTAAATCACAATTTTGTACTAGTTGTTTCTGATGGTAATGTTAATTGTTGGTTTATTTGAATGTGTGGATACTATCTAGTAAGTCCTGGAGAATTTCAGAGAGTGTGAGGAAGTTGAAGGTTTGGTTAGCCGTATTTTTCGTTTGGGTTTTCGGAAAAGGGGTCGTCGGTTTTTACACTAAGGTGTTTTGGAGGAGTCCAGCTCGCCGGCGCATCCTATTGAGAGTGGATTGGACATCGAAGCACTAATTCAGGGTGTGAGTCTCAGACCCAGCCCCAGCTAGTCAACTCTGTTTTACGAGCCTGACACCCAGGATATCAATGTTTACGTATAGGAGTTTTCGGTAGTTGAATAGTAGACAATAATTTGTGTTTTTTGAGGATTGAATCATACCCTCCATCTGCCGCATCAGCGAGTATACTGGTTAAGTAGATTTTGGATTCGGATTCTTAGTTAGTTAGAATTATAGGTAACTGAGAGCAGAACAGTATCATCGGCATATAAAAGACTTTGTGACGATGGAAGGTTTGGGGAAGGAAGATCGTGAGGATATACAAGATATAGGAGAAGGGCTATGACTGAGCCCTGCTTGAGGGGTAAATGGGTTAGAAAGGGATTTGCCTACTTTGACCGTGATGGATCTGTCTGCGAAGTAGGAATGATTGAGTTTGGTGATGTTGTTGGTTCATTTGTTTGG